GGCCAGGAAACCGTTCAATGTGCAATCGTCTAGCTTCCAACGAATTGCCAACAGCAAGTCCATACATGAAATGCATATCAGTCATCTCGACGTTATCATACATTGTAGAGGGCTTCACTAACTATCAAAGACATGTCAAACGTCACTCAATGTAAGCAACTGTGATCGATACCGGTGGTTATCACTTACGAGACTTAAAAATGAAATCCACTTGTACGTTAGTAGATCAAACGACCATTCCAAATTGTCGTCAACAATTTTTGTACTTGCTAATGTCATCGGCGTACGACATACTTTTATTTACATTAATGATTTCAACAAGTATCGAATATGATTGTCGCAAATTTTGTTCACACTGTATATTCGAAACAAATCGGTTTTTGAGAAATCATCGTAGGGCAAAATATTCTCTTTTATTTTTATTATTGGCGATAAGCTATTGGGCAACAAAGGCTCATTATTATTATTATTATAGTTATTATTGTAAGATAAAGTGAAAGTGATTTTGTTTTTAACAGCTACTCATACCGTGCAAATCATTTGCTGCTGAGGTCCGCCGGGTTTCAATGTGTACGAGAGAGAGAGAGAGCGCGACGCGTGCAACACGTATGTTATAAAGAGTTAGAAACAGTGCGCCCACAAGTAATCACGAGTTGACCCGCAACGACAGCAAGGAAATCACGGAGCACTCTTCATAACATACGTGGTGTACGCTTCTCTCTCGCACACATTGAAACTCTGCCGAGCTTAAGCATAAATGATTCGCGCGGTAAATATTTTATAAGTGGTATCTTCTCTATTTAAAACTAGCGATAACACTAAATATGTTGAACGAGTAATAAGTGACGGGACTAATTAACTTTGTTCAACTCTGACTGGACTAAACGTAGTCGTAAGACGTAGTAAAGTAAAATGAAGTGGAAGTAATATTCATTAGCTTCTTTAAAACACCTGCGAGCCTTGAGGAGGATCTGCTTATTAATAATAATATAAATTAATGAATGTGGCGTTTTGTGAGGGAGACACATAATTGAGCGAATAAAAGTAGATAGATGGTTTGTTTTCGTTCTTGTTACCCAGCTACTGACACTACAAGACAATTTATGATATTTTAAGTGAGAGCATTAGAATAACGGCAATCTAAGGATCAAGATCTAAGCTCCGCAGTAAGAAGGCTACTTGATGATTTATCTGAAGAACCATTTTAACAATGGATAAACCTAGATCAAACTGCTGGTGTAGCATGTGGACATATACACTTTTGTCAAACTCTGAACTGGAAATCAAACTATTCAATAAAGCTAAATAAGATGCGCATTAACCTTGTAGTAGTATCGCCTCGAACTCCTACACGACGAGAAATGCATCTGGTAGTATGGCTACATTTCTACTTTCCTTACCGAGATCAGCTGGGCATTTGGCATCTCAACATATTGACTTTTGTCAGATTGGAAAGTTCGTATATTATAACTGTCACATTCTCCCTGAATTCAATTCCTTCCGTTTTGTCAGGTTCCTAATTATGTTTAACGCCGTATAGAGCTACATACTAGCGATTTACCGGCCATTATACAGCCACATCGGCATTGCAGTTTGACAGAAATGAAGAAATGAACAAGGTTGTTTTCACTTGAACAAATAAATAAATTTTGAACTGGTATTAAAAATTATCGGAACGTATTATGGTTCGACCTGTAAAAGCCATTATCAATATCACAAAGGTAGAAGAAAATATAATTTCGTAGAAACAACTCTGCCGAGCATATATCAAAGTTATCGGAACGTCGCCTCGAAAAAATGGGAAATAATCCGGATCGACTGTAGAGATGAGGGTCTGAGGGGAAACAAAAGAAACTTACGACACACGTCGACTGGATAATGGATCATCAATTAGGCTCACCTATGTGGAAGCTGAATCGCCCATCATGGGAAAAGTAAGCTGTCTGGAGAAAGAGAGGAACAAAACCTGAGAAAGGGAAACGACAGGACGCTATCAAAAGGGGCTTATGCACGTGTTTTCCTTTCATCTCGTAAAACACCAAAGATAGACAACAAGGACACTCACTAGTTCATACCGTTACCTACTTAGTTGCAAAGCGTAGTTTGTCTGAAAATGGGCTTTACTAATTCAATGAGTTTGCTTACTTGATCTTTATGATACGGCCGTTGAATAAAGTCACATATGCTAAAAAAAATTGAGGCAATTTCGAGCTAAATATAGCTCCCATTATCGGTTTATTGATGTTTCGGCACCTGCATGAGTATTACGAATCTTGACAGGTAATATTTGTCTGTTTTTGATATTTTATAGGTTTTCTGTGACATAACGTAGTTTTTTCTACAAGTTGTCGACTTAGCACTACACTTGTTGTGAACCCGTTTTGTGTCTGTACGTGTTGCTTAAACGTCATGATGCTTCAGAGACGGCATAGGTGCAGAGAGAGAATTTGTGAGCTAATAATCTGTATTAACTATAATTCTATTGGATTCTTGTATCAGATACACTTACTTGAGATGCATTCAAAGCATGCAATTAGTTATCATCCAATTAATTCATTTTATACTTACATACTACCTACCATACATACTCAATCAGCTTTGTTTCTTTCACATCTTCTCAGAGATAAACACTACTTAGCTTTCTGCAACCAACAATGCATGCTTGAGTGTGTCGTGTCGTTGAGTCATTCCTCCATAGATGGACGCTTTTGATGGCGCTCACAGCGATCATAGCGAGCAAACGTGGAATGAGGTGACATTTTGTTTTGTTTTTTTTTAAGTTTTCAGGTTTTGCTCATACTACCCCTGTGCTGGTTGGCAATCTTCAAAGTAGGTTAAATACTATTAAAAAATAAGTTAAACAATTTTTTTGTCAAAATCTTCTTTTTTTTGTACTATTCTGTCAAATTCTTGTAATGGTTGTTGTAAAACGATCATCTCCGTAATGTTCCAAATGTTTCTGTAAAACCGAATGAAAGTCGAGACGTGGTGCACCGATGGTGAAGCGAGATAGCGCAGTAATAGCACAATCCATATTAGATGTGAGTTTGGATGTCTTGAGAGGGGTAGCTAATTCAGAACTCCACTCCTTGGATCATTCGCTAATCACCAATTTATATAGCACAATGCAAAAAATGTAGCGCCTGTAAGTCATCCAAAGGTTTTCATGCTGATAGGACTCCATTTGCTTATACATTCACAGAATGTTTGAAATTAGCTGCTTAATTCACACCGTGCAATCCAGAACTCACTCAACTTGACTACTACTGCCATCCCTTATGTCACTTGCATCATCCCCCGTGTAATTTTTCGCTCTGCCTAACTGTTCGAATTATCAGAACAACAAGCATTTTATTCACATATTTCATCACTACCACAGCACAGCACCTTCTACAAGTCTCGTTACTATATTCTTGAATCTTTTAAGCATATAACGGAGAAACATATACAGTGCTTTTCTTTAATGGCCCCTCCCCTTTGATTTTTTGAACGGATCAATTCAAAAAATTAAAACTTGAGGTAATGAAATTGATGTGTGGATAGCATATTTTAAATATAGTGGAGAGATGGTAGAAGAACAGGTACACACAATAATCAAAGACATATGGATTAAAGAAGAACTACCAAAGGAATAGACAGAGGCCGTTATATGTCCCATTCATAAAAATAGCGACAAAACAGAAATCCATAATTATAGGGGGATATCACTTCTAAGCACAGCTCACAATGCACATTAAGGAAAAATTAACAAAGGAAATGGAAAACACTGTTGGTGAGTATCAATGTGGTTTTAGACGAGGTAGAAGTGCGACAGACCAAATATTTGCACTCAAGGAACTATAGGCTGAAAGACTGCATGCAGTACTTATCGATTTTAAGCAAGCATATGGGAAGAATAAAGAATAAAGCAAACGCAAATGTACAGAGCATTGGATGAGTGATGAATTAACTTATTAAAAGATACTGAAAATGGAGTTAAAATAAATACTGTAATGTCAAACAAAAAAGTCAGTGAAGAAGTGAGTACTTAGAAAAGGTAATGCAAGAAGCGAATATCAACAATGATGGGATACTGTACCATAGAAAACACCAGTGTTTTTCTTTTGAAGATGACAGAGCGCTAGTAACGAGAGGCAAACAGGAGTTACAAGATGTAGTGAGGAGACTAGATACAGCGGCTAGGAAACTGGGGCTAACTATAAATGAAAATAAGACAAAATGCATGGAATGGGCTGTTGTTAGTAGCAAAACTAGGCAAGACCTACGTTATTGAGAAGGTGGAAAGATTCGTATACCTAGGCACAGTATTCACAAACAAACAAAATATCAAAGAAGAAATACATACAAGACTAATGTCTGGGAACCGATGTGCATATGCACTTGACAGAATTTTAAAAAGTAAAGATATATCGAAAATGCTAAAACTAGAATATACAGAACAGTAATCATATGTGCTAGCGGAGTACTCTGACCAGAAACGAATATGCTTGAGGTTTGGGAAGGGAAGACTGTAAGGATAATTTGTGGTGGCAAACTAGTTAACAGTGTTTGGATGAGAAGAACGAACAGCAAAATAAAGGAGCTATATGGGCATCCTAATATAGTAGGAGTAATAAAGGTGCAGAGGTTAAGGTGGTTACGCCACATAGAAGGGATGCCAAATATATGAATACCAAGAGGATTCCGACGCACACAGCTGGCACAAAGAAAAGAAGAGGAACATCAAAAGGTAGATCGAAACAAGAAGTATATGAGGACTTACGAGTAATAGGGATGCAGAGATGAAAGAACAAGGCAGTCGATAGGAGGAAACGGAAGAATTTCACTTTCCAAGTCATGGGCCTACTAGGCCTTTAGTGCTTCCGTATATGTATAATGGAGAAACATGTTTAGTATACGATTTATGAAAAATAAATCATAATTCCCGCAACAAACACTGCAGTATGCTGCTGAGCTGATGCTAAATGCGACTTCCTGTTTGCAGTAGCACGCTGCCACTTCTATAGTGACTCCATCAAAGTCTTCTGACATTCAGCGTCTTTGTAATCTTGCCTTTGCAGTATTGATGGTTGAAACATCTTTGATGAGATCGTCAATCTCTATAATATATTTTTTATATAAGTTTAGAGCACTCAGGTTTAGACTAGGAGGAGCCAATAATGCCACGTGGTTCTTATATGTCTCTTCAGTTTGAATGTGGGGCATTATAGGAATGTGCATACATATTAAAAATCAGGTCACGCGATTCGGTTGGCCGTCATGTTTAACAATGGCCGCCAGGTTGAAAACGGTTATTGAATGTATCTTCCCAACCGGTGGGCCCACTTCACCTTTTTACATTTCAAATTGCTCTTTTTTCACAAACAAGATTTCATAATTACACATTTTTTCAAAAATCCAGTAGTTATTCAGGTATACAAAAGTCCACGATTTTGATCGCGTGACCTGAACTTTGAAGTACTCCTGTCCTTAGTTATACCTCGCATCCAATCCGAGGATACATTAGAGGCTGCTGCTAGACAGACAAAGAACACCTGCTCTCCTATGAATCTTGTGACAAACATCACCTGTACGGAGTTGAGAAGCTGTGACAACAGTGGTTAGGACTACTGTTCGTCGGTTAGCGTCGCCTTTTAAGCCAACCCTTAGACCAAACACATAATTCCATCTAAATATCTGTATGATTTGCATCACAGAATTTCCTACACGCCTCACTACTATGTTCCCAAAACTATTCGTGACGTAACTGTACCACTCCATGCATATAATGAAAGGAACATTTTTGGTCTACGAGGTATAAACCATAAATCACAATTCCTGAAACGAACCTCGCTCCATCCTGCGGAACTGACGCTAAATACGACTTCCTGTGTGCACTAGCTCGCTGCAGCTTCCTGGCAACTTCATCTGGCGTGTCCCAACTGACCATCGGACTACTTAATTTCCCGGAGACGTTGCGGGCACTCGCTCAACGCGACGACGCTAACATAATTTCGGAACTTTGCCTCCAAAGCAATGGCTGGTGATCGGAAACTGCTGTAAGTTGCACGCGGCTTGCCGATTTGGGGCATTAGTCACTCATGTAATCGATTCTCCGGCGTATGGCGGCTGAACTGCTTTCATGCACCGCTGTTCACGATTAAGGAACCTCCACATACGGCCGTTAGCAGTTGACTTCCGACTGAAAGCGCTACGACACAGATCTGCTCTGCGTCGATTGAAATCGGAAGCATTTTCCCATAATTTTTGTATTGTTTGGTAAAAAACTGTCGGACAAAATATGCATGAAATGTCATTATTTAAGAAATACTTCAAACTCTAACAAGCCACAAGCAAACTGGTGTAATCTAAGGGTATGTTCATAATGAAGATGCTTACATGGATGGAGGGTGTTCATACTGAATTCACCCTCGAAGGAGGTTCTTAATGTTTCATTTGTTCACGAGCGAATAATGAGACAGGATGTTGACGAGCGATAAAGGCAGTGAGAGTGATTTGTCTCTAGTAACCAAGTGGTAGATGTTTAGTTCTCTACCAACTCGAAAATACACAACACATCCAGTAAACAAATCGAGACATGAATTTGGATAGTACCACCATCTTTTACTCTTGAATTGAAGAGAGACAAGGAAAGATTCCACTGCTACATGAATATGTCGGCAAATACATTTGGTTACATACTCGACAACGTTGAGCTTCTACTGGACGACTGCAAGTACACCAACTTGCATAGTAATCCAATTCTTGCTGAGGAACGAGCACGACCTTAAAAGAACAACCTCACGGGATTGTACTGCGTTAAGACTACATGTTGCCGGTTCTAACTACAAAGCACCAAATTTGTGACATTCATCTTTTTTCCCCTGTACCCTTCACATATTAACGTGAACACCTAGTCAGCAATTGATATCTACGTCTGTTTACAAACTAGTACATGATCACAAACCCAACTGGCACCATCTGCTTCTGGCAACCCATAACACTCCCAAACAATTCCAAAGCGTCAGTACGATTAATATCACAAGACGCATAATATGGCTATTCCACTCAGCATTAACCTACTCGTATGTTCCATTTCGCCTCAATTATCTCCCTGCCGTTTTCGTTTTTCTGGCACGAGGGTTATTTTTTTTATTACAGCTGATTTGACCCTGGCACAGGTAGCCGTAATTGACCACCGTTATCGTTTAGAGCTGCGTCGTAAGTTTCATTTGGTTCCTGTACGACTCTCATCAGTATAGTTCAGCTTGAAGGTTACTCTACTTGTCCTTCTGTTTGGGACATGTTTGAGGAGGTCAGATGAGCAATAAAGAATTATGTGATTAGCTGTGGCTGTCTTAAGGTTTCTGTTTACCTTTTTTAAAATATTTTACTTATTTATATCTGAAAGTACTTTGTTAACTCATGGAATGGTAAGTTGCGACTAGAGATACAACTAATCGAGGAATTATTTGATGTTCACATTTACTATTAATTTGTGTACGACTGGTCTTGCCAGAGAAAAATCCATTATGTTAGCTTTTTCTTGAAATTATTATATCGTCAGGTAAATTTACGTATTTTGGACCTAAATAAAGGTATGATCCTTGTGTTATAAATTAAATTGATCTAGGGACAACTGTTCCTCTTAGTTTATGCCTTATGTGGTGATTGTGTTTAATTTTTTGGTCATTATTAATAAATTTGTGATGTATAACATATCATTTGGACACAATTTTGGTTTGTTAAAAATAGTTTTTAGGATCATTCTTTGAAAAATATCCAAATCGTAAATATGACTTAAGCATGTAGCACTCCATGCCAATATACCGTAGGTTAAATGTGGCTCGATCAAGGTGTGTATAAGGTATAGAGATACTTTTCTTTTGACATTTTTTTGATGTATTTAATGTTACACGAAACATATCTAACTTTTATCAGATATACGATATATGAACATCCCAATGCAAGTGTGGATCTGGGCATATTTCAAGGCATTTTATATCTGATACTCTGTCCATTTCTGATTTTTTACAATAAAGGAGATGCTTGTGTAATTAAGTAGATATCTAGAACAGGAAGAAAATGGTAAAAATGTGTTTTAGAGTAACTAATTCTTGACTTCCTGTAATTAAGCCTCTGGATAATTTTCATCTATACTTTTCAAATGAAACCAATCATCATCCTTATAAATAACTGCTGTGTCATCTGCGAAACTTACTAGTTTGCCCACACAGTTGAATTATATCATTTACATATATATTAAAAAGCAGTATGCCCAAAATGGATCCCTGTGGGATGCCACATTTAGTAAACATTTCATCACTGAAAAATTTTATACTTTAACGGATTGTTGTCTGTTGGATAAGTAATTTCCTAGTAATAAATATAGTTTACCCCGAAAGCCAACTCTCCGATATGTCTAACAATAATCTATGGTTTAGTGTATCGACAAAAATACAAAGACAATGCATTTTCATATCAAGATTTTGATGTATTTGGTTAAGAACACACCTGATATTGCGTCTGATGTCGACTCCGTAAATCTGTATTGCTTTTTACATAAAATTTGACATTTTGTGAGAAACTGGAGCATTCTAGCAGATATTATTTTATTCAATTATTTTTGCTATATGAGAAATCACTGACATAGGTCGATTGTTGTTAATATCTGTCCGATCTGTGTTGCGATATATTTTTTCTGTGTTACGATATATTTTTTCAAAACGGAAGGGATCATACCAGACTCAAACATAGAATAATTATATATGTCAATGGTTGTGCTGTATCCTCGCCTATAATTTTGAGATTCTCACTTCTAATACCGTCAAATCCTGTTCTTTTGCGATTTTTCTGGGAAGTAGTATATGCTTCACGCGTTCAACTTTATCTAAACCAAGCAAATTTAGGTATCTTTTTGGAACTTGTGTATATCTTTTGCCAAGTGATTTGCTAAATTGGAAAAAATATTATAAATTCATTGCAGTAACATATACAGCAGGATAGATAATGCTCTAAGTAAAAAACGGTTTACATCCTTCAAGTCAATGATTTAGGTATATGGTAGAAGTTCGATACTACAACTGATAACAAACCTGTAAAGAATGAAATAAATAGCCATTATTTATACACTGCAAACTGGCGTGAGTTCAAAGTGTACGAGAGAGAAGTGTGTATAGACCCATATGTTAGAAAGAGATAGAAGCTGGCTGGATAATGAAACTTATCACCACGTTGCCCAGCAATTTGCCGCATTACCAATTCCGGTTCCTTGAATTAAGATGCATGTTGAAAATATGCGTTGGTTTATTCTTTACGCCCAAGTAATGGCTATTTTGTTATTTTGAGCGTACATATTTTTGAATTATGCTCCATTTTAGGTCAAAATCGAAGGTCGGGATGGCCACAAAGTCTGCAATATCGCATTACAGTTTGCTTGGCAATACCGCATCTCGTATATTCTAAGGCACGGTTTCCACCTCCATGATCATAGATGAGCGATTTTGGTCAGTGCTGATCTAGCGCCCATTGGGGAGTGTCGTCCTGCTTCGAAATGGTTTTCACCTGCGTACACGTAGGCAGTGATAATTTGTATGGAGTAATGGTATTTGTTACATTTTCCGAAGTAATCAACTGACAACCCTTTACAGGTAATAATCTTGTCACTTCCCAATTTACCTTTAAATGTATCTGTTGTAATTACGATTGTTTTCTCATACAACCTATTGTGATTTTTTATGTAAGCTTCAATTTCTCTACCTAGATATTCCAAACCAAACACAGTATTACCGAAGCTTCTGCTCAGTTGTGGGCTTGGAATCGCAAAACTCAAAGATAACAAAGCATTTTCACTTAGATCTATGATAAGTCGGCAAGAAAGGCTGGAAAAGCTGAAGAAGCAGTTTGTATAAATCCCTGAAGTCGTATACCAGTGTAGCTAATCCTTACCATTCGAGCTGTATGCTGCGCTCAGATATTGCACAATCCTTAATACGAGAGGCATGTAATGGAAAAGGAAGGAGATTTGTAATGTTTTCGTTGAGCCTGACACATGTATACGGTATTCCTGGTAATTCGATGAACATAAACAACCAAGTCCTATGTAGTAATATGAATGCGC